CCCAAGGCTTAAAGATGTCTAACCACCTTATTAATGATGAAGCCAGGTTTTCAGTTTCTCCTAGTTCATTATTCATTATTTCATATGAAACTACTTCAAGTGAGCAAAGTACATATTCATACATAAACTAAAACACCCACACTCATTGGGCCAAAATAAAATTTTCAAAGGATTTTGAGATATTTGCTTAGAAACTATGTGTCAAAGTTCTCATAACAGTATGTACTTTGATGAATATTGTTATCCTTATCTAAAAAGCACAATATCCTTTTCAATTTTCACACGCAATGTTATTTCCCATGCTATTCTGTGACCAGCCAAAGGCTTAGGACAAAACTAGGCATTTAGCATCTGTGTGCGAAAAGGGAGAACCTGACCATACTTGGCTCAAATATTTACCTATTTTTCGACCATTTAGTTTAGTTTTTTTATAATTAATGTTATATGTGGGAGAACTAGTTTCAATTTGCTTGTGTCTGGTAAACAGTAATCTACATGAGAGATAAGGATTAGCTTGCCTGAAAAAGAAGTTACCAGTTGTAACTATGATATTGGTAACTTGTGCAACCTGGGGAGGTAAGGGGATGATTTAGGCTGAGGGTGGAGAGGGAAATGTTTTAGAAAGAAGCAAATAAACTCTTAGGTGGTTGAGAAACCCCAAGAGAATCTGTATCATCTGGTTGAAAAATTTCCTGACGAAAATGACAGAACTGATTAACGGAAGTATTTTTAATTAGCTGGGCTGAATCCAAAAGAAGGAATACAAGTCCAAGTCAACAGAGGAAGTTTACTGGACTTCCTATTTAAAACAGATGTTTTATCAAAACTGATAAATTTCTGAATGTGATAATAACAGAACTGAATGCTGAAGCAGTTTATTAAAATGAGAATCTTAAAAGTAAACAATATCTAGACACTCCTACTTCTAAAGGGTACAGAATGTAGGACATTTTTACAGGTGGATAAATTACCCTGTGGACACCAAGTTCAAAGCTGGGGTTTGGTAGCTGGTGGACAGGAAGAGCAGCACAGCCCTAACCCCATGCCTTGTTGTCCAGGCAGAGCTGCTGGGGAGGAGGGTGCTATGGGACATGGGAAGCAGGCCATGAACCGGACAAATTGATGCAAAATTCAAGAGAGAATGTTTTCTATAACTTGGTATGCAGTTTTGTTGTTTGTTTGTTTTCTAATTAAATCCTTTTTATTGTTATTCTGTTACAGTTGTCCCAATTTTTCCCCCTTTGCCCTCTTCCACCCATCCTACCATCCACAGTATGCAGTTTCTTGTGGATAGAGCAGTCCTCGTTTGCTGGTACAAAGCCCTGCAGTAAATTCTACGTGTTGTCTTTGATGTGTGAACTTAGAGGCTATCTATGAAAGTGATCTGGTCTCATTTATTAGAGGAGATTTTTAAAATTCAGAGCTCATGTGTTCCCTTGCAGAGAGTTTGGCAGAGCAAAAACATATGCATTGCTTGGGAGGAAGGCAGACTTTCCAATGAGTACATCTTTCCTACCCCACAGCCAAGGAGCTCTCCTGGGAGGAATCAGAATTCTTATTTGCTGCCAGGTTGCCCTACTCTAACATTCAAGAGACATTCTCCCCCAAATTTCTCCCCAAACCCCATCTTGGATTGTGTCATCTTGCTGGCCAGTAGTTTTGGGATACCCCCCAAGGAGGATGAATAGTTAGTGAGTTCAGAAGTCAACAGCAATAAAGATTTGATAATATGTTAAACTTCCTTCCCATTGAAATTATCTTTGCTAGTATAATAAAAGAATGAATTCATAAACTACACCATTTCACAGTATATCATAATAACAAATAATGTACTTAATGTGTTACCTGAAGTTCCCTAAGGAAAAGAAACTTCAAGGTAACACTTGAGAGAAACACATAAAATGTTATTAAGTGATTTTGGTAAACTGTTTGATGTCAAAAATATATAAAAATCCAATATGATAAGTAAGGCTTAGAATTATTTTTTATTCTTTCAATTAGAAAAAAAGGAAATGATCTTATTAAATGTCTGTACATCAGAGGGCTCCAAAGTAAAGTGCTTTGCTATTTTGAGTTTGTTGATGGAGGTGGTAATGTTAATTGGTGGCCTTTGGTCTCAGTCTACCTGTACCAATTATGAATGTCAGAAAAAATTGTTACAGAACTAGACTTATTACTTAGGTCATTTTAGAGGACCCAAACGACTTATAATTGGGTCTTACTCTGGGACTAGGTGAAGACAGTAGAAGATGGAATACGATTTCCTCATTGACTTTGTAACATTAATAAAATTTATGACTATTTCATTGTACTAAATCACAAAAAAAGGAAGAGACTTGGGAATTTTTTTTAACACAAATAATGGCATTAATCTCTAAAGCTTTTTCTTTTTTCTCTTTTTGCTGGCCACTGTGGATTCCATATATATTAGATAGTTTGGCTGTGTATTGAGTCACCTCAAACTTTAATGGCATGAAACAACATTTTCTTTAATTTCTCACAATCTTGTGTAGTGGCTGGGCAATTCTAACTTTATTTTAGTTCATAGATCTGGGGAAAACATAGATGATAAGCAAACATAGATTTAGTAAATATGTTTAATAAGTTTAAATTAATAGGGCTGCCATCATATAATTTCATTATCTCTAGAAACACGATGAAATATGCCTCCATGCATACAAAATAACTTGAGCTTAATTGTATTCCTTTAAATAAACTTTATAAACCTAAATGTAAATACCATTTTTATTATTAAAGTAGAATTAAATAAACTATTTGGCATCAGCAAGTATTTCTGAGACAGTCTTCTTAATAACATAATCTGATTAATGGCATTAGTAGATATGCCATGCATAGATGACCAGTTTGCTAATTTAAATATGATAATATAATGTAAAGGTTCAATGAACATGTATGTATCCCTCTGTCACATGCATTTTTACCAAGTGCTAATTCTGAAAAACTGTTATTATTATGGAGATTTCAAAATGCTAGGATTAAGAGAAGGCAACTCTAGGAATTTAGAGCTTTGCACACCCAAGGTGAGAGAAGGTGGTATGATAGTAACAGAACACTGACCCTGCGAGAGACTTTAGAGATGACCTCTAATACTCTCATTTTGTGGTGAGGAAACAAAGGCACAAACAGTCTGCATTACACCTACAATAAAAACAATTCTGGATTTCACTCTTTTAAATTTATGTTTTCTATGCTTTTTTAAAAGAGGAAAATGGAGAAGATTCTTTAATTCTATTAGGGAGATTTGAGAACTACATATTTTCTCTTTGAAAACAACTACAGAAATTTTTAAAAAGAAAAGGTATTGATTGGGAAATGGCATTTTAATCTTGGATTGTGATTTTTAATTACATATTTTAATTAGTGTTTTTTTAGTTTTTGTCTGAAGATTTTGGTATATTTTAAGCATTAAAAAATTTTAAAGCTAGAACAATTTTTCAATGGAGAAAAATGAAATGATTTTTAAAGTTTTCTGGTATAGTGAAAAAATAATATGTATGTCTTAAAAGCTTCATATTTAAATATTATTAAATATGTAAAACATTTATGTATTTCATTTATTTGCTTTTTTTACCTGTTTTGTCCCAAATAGTTTGAAAGGTTGAGGGAAGAAATGGAAATATCTCCCCCTAGTGGTCAGTTAATAAAAGCAAATTAAGAAACTTTTACAGAGGATTGATTACCCACTGAACAGAATTAGCATGAACTTATAGATATATGACATAATGTGCTTTCTTTAAAAAAAAAAAATATTTATTCGTTTTTAGAGAGGGAAGGGAATGGAGGAAGAAAGAGAGGAAGGGAAACACTAATGTGTGTGTGAGAAACATCGGTCAGTTACTTCTCGCATGCCCCGAGTCAGGAACCTGGCCTACAACCCAGGCATGTGCCTGACTGGGAATCCAACCAGGGCCTTTGGGTTTGCAGGACTATGCTCAACTCACTGAGCCACACCAGTCAGGGTGACATAATGTGCTTTAGTTAATGTTCACTTAGATATTAATTACCTAAGTAAAAATAAAATGTAAATATATTTGAAATTAAAGTGCAAATAATAGGTGAAAATTTCCTCATGCTACTGATAAACCCTCATGTTATTTTCTACACTTACAACACTGCCATATATGACAAAGAGGTAAGACATTTCTGGGGCAGAGAAACCATTGAGTCTTAGTTATTTCTTTCCTCTGGTCTTTATAATCTCAGCAATGACAAGACTCTGTCTCATTTTGCTCACCAATGTAGTTTCATGTCTGACACAAGGATGGGCACATAGTTTGGCCTCAGCAAACAGTCCTTGAATGATAGAATGAAAAAAATGATAATACATGTTCATGAAAGCAAAAAGATTAAGATAAAAGTAAAGTCAATCAATACTTATCACACACCCATAACAGGGCCAGTACTGTTTTAATTGCTCTCTCAGTCTATTTTTATTTACTTTTAGAAGAATGAATTTAGATTTAAAAGCATATATGGAATTATGCAAAAAGAGGCAGTCAGAGATGAAGGTGAGTCATCCGTGTTTATTGACTTTTTAGGAACAGGTAATTAATATTTCATCATTAAACTCAAATTCGCACACATTAAAAAATTAAAATCATATGAATATTGTCAGACCAGGGAGTATAGCTGGAAGAGTTACTTCTAGGAAAGAGCCTGGTTTCCCACCATGGGGCTTCTATTGCCTTGGTGTTTAGTTCTTTGCTTGAGTATAAAATCAATCTAATATTGTTAGAATATTAGACATGATTTCTAAAAAGCCTTAAGAATTTTGGAGGTAAAGCATTATGCCAATACAAAGAAGTTACCCAAGAGCAGTAAAGAACTGCAGGAGAAGCTATTGGGCTCATGTACCTGTTTTTGTTTTGCTGTTTAATATCAATGGTCTTTTAATGAAATGATGTGGTATTGATCCTCACATAGACTACTAATTGCCTTTCAGTTTAATTGAAAATGCTGTATCTTTCTTCTCTTTATAGAAAGCATCATCATTCACCAGTTACGTATGAACTCCAGATGAAATGGTAAACCAAGCACATATTGGGTGTGTGTACTTCCTCTGAATCCCTGTTGAACGGATAGTGTTTCTACAGCTCTCCATCATCACTAAGGTCCTCCGTTCTACTGATCACTACTGAAAATAGTTTTCTACTTCCAGTGATTTTTTTTTTTTGAGGCTATAATGTAAAAGCTGAAAATGGCATTGCTGAAAACATAAAAATAGGTTGCAAGAATGACTTAATCTTTGTGTCAAAAGAAATTTTTCTTCCTTTTGAAAAGCTTTCAGGTCCATGGGCACATGCTATGTAATTTATTTTTATAATACACTTTGTAATGTGATTTTTTTCCTAAAGTGTTTCCTTTTTCATAGTCTATGGCACATATATACTATGTAGAATATACTGTCAGTTCTTCAAAGCATGGGTATTGGTGCATTAATAACAGTTATCTATGATTGTTTTCTTTTATCAATTTGTTGTTTCTGAAGAAAAGAAAGTACAACACATTATATATTTCCTGGGGTAAACTCAAGAGTTAAAGAGAGAAGCAGGAGCTTTTGGAAGAGTTTTTATTATTGTTTGTACAATGCTGTGATTCTGATCATGGTTCAACACTAACAAATAACACTCTGATTTAAAGTTTAACTTTAAATACTTAAATCCCCAGTTTTTAAAGTTGCTCTTTCTAGTGTTCTGTGCCAAAACCCTTGAATGAATTGATTTTCATATGGAATGAATTAATAAAAGGAGATGTAAGAGTTTAACATGTAAGGATTGTAGGAACACCTTCAACTGATAGTTCAATTATATTTGCTTGCATTATTTACTTACCTGCACAAGACTCACAATAAGGATATCAAGATATTTCTCACAATCTACCTAAGTAAAAGTCTGAAAACAAAAACTGACCAAGAACAGTATTAGCATTTTTTTTAATGGTAATAGAAATCGCAAGATAGATAACTTTTTTTCTTGCAGATGGGATTTGGACAGATTTTCAGGATCATGCACAGGTTGGAGAATATATTCTTTAAAGAAAAAAAAGCACATGAATTACTCAAATCTCATTGTCAGAGCTGCTGTTGATTTTAGATTTATGTAAAAATGTGCAACTAAAGTCTACTTGAAACCCTTAATATGGGTTTATTTGTTTTTTTAAAACAAAGAGTTTGTTAATGTGGACATGGTTTCAATAAGGCCTTTAAAAGATAGCTTTAAAGATTTGACACATCAGTTTCTGAAGGCAGAAGTCATCTATCACATAACTTGACTGAGATTAACAAAACTATGCTTCTGGGCATCACAAGGATAACTATTGTAAAAACAACACAAATAATAGTGTTGGCCCATTTCTCTAGTACACAGGTTGTACCCAGATTTACAAGCCCAGAGGGTAGTCCACACCAAGTCTCTGGAATAGAAAAATAAAGGTTGGATTTCCTCCCCTATGGGACTTGGTAAGGTTTGAAGGTATACCTTGTGGAATTAGCAAATCATATTCAGTAGGTATTTTAAATTAAATATATTTTATGTAAAATTAGTTTTGATTTTTGTAAGTAAAAGAAACGCTACAGTAGGCTTGTCCCAGCTTGAATGATTGTGTATACATCACATAACCTTCAGGGCTTTTGATTACTGATTAAGAAAACTAGAGTGTGTTTGTGTGAAAATTTAAAAAATTGTTGTTGGTTTTGTTTTCTGAAAATGTTTCTAAACTGTAATGGCATTTTTAATTAAGAAAGCATTTTATTTAGTATTGGTATTTTTTTTCACTCGCAATTAAGTTCCCTTTTTGCCAATGTTTATACTTGTGATGGCAAAAATATTCTGATATATCACAGATAAGCATTTGAAGCAAATAACTTTTTCTCAACCTGTGGAAATTTTATTACACTAATTGTGAAAATGCTAGAAAATAAGACTTTAAATACCTCTTGACTTTAAAATATTACAAGTAATTTATGTATATTTGAGTCTGAAGTTTTTATTTCTCTTGAGTTTATAATGAAATTTGGTACTTGCAATGCAGAGTGAGGGTACAATCAGAGTCATTTAGATGGTTCTGGGCTTTTTTTCCACTCATGCTATGAATAAATCCTCTATTTAAACCCAAATGGAATCAGAGTGACAGATGGCCAAAATTAATTTAAAAATTGAAAAATTGTTTAGAAATTGAATGGAATATGAAAGAATGGAATATTAACAATAGCCATATCCTTATCTAATAAATAAACAAGTTCATAAATAGTCATATCTCAATATCCACATCCAATTGAAAAACATGACCACCACATGCAAGCCTGGCACCATCCTAGGCTCGCATAATTTCTGTATCTTTTACTGTAAATAAATCTCCAATCATTAATATGAATGAGAATCAGTTTTGAATGGAATAATTATGTTTTCTGAAGCCTAACTGTAGTGTTTTCAATTTAAGGCACAACAAATGAATCCATTATTTTACCTTTTTCTTTTTGATAAGTTTGTTTTTTGAGGTACCTTGTACGAAGACTTTTTTCAAGTATATAATAAAATACTAGGATTTAATGAAAATAGTGGATAGAATAAATATTCTAGATGTTAGATGCCTGGAATGTTCACAGTACAAATTAATTGTATTTAGTACACCGTAAAAGAATTTCATAGTGTGGAATATCTAGTTTAAGCATTAACAGAGATACCAACAATGTTGAAATAATTCACAGCTCCTAAAAGTCAATGGCAGAGCAAGAGGAAATGGTATATCAGACAATGTAATATGTTTGTGTCTTTTCTCTTTATGCTGTGGTTAAATTTTCCTGGAAGTAAATAAAAAATAGAGCAAAGGTAGGGTGTGTTCATGAATTTGGTAAGCACCAATTCTAAAAATACAAAAATACAGAATGATAGTTTAAAAAAAACAGCTGAGTGCCGCCTGAGGCATATACCCTCCTCTGGACCTCCAGTGCTATGCCTCTGTTAAAAGGACTAGATAGACAGCAATAAAACAATTAAAATTGTAATGAATTCACAAAAATTGGGAAAGATTTATGAAATTAACATTGCTTAGTGACCACTAATATTTTATTTTCTTAAACTTTCAGCATTTCTTCCATCACTATCCTATGATAACCATGTTTGTTTCATAGGGAAAATGCTGTGGATTCATACATTTGAACAGAAATGTTTATAGATGTCATGACATGATACATTTATTTATTTTTTGTTAGTTTGTTTATGTTATTTGGTTAATTTTACCTTACCATTCGCAGACTTTGTTCACAGTGCAGATATGTATTTATTTAAACTAGATTTTTGTTTTAAAAATATCAGGTGTTAGCTTCCCCAATATAAGAGGATTACAATGTGATCAGATATTCTTCAAGTCTTGCAGGTTTAATGGATTTTCAAAAGCAAATGACTACATTGAAAACTTCTGGAGTTACATTCTATTTTCACAACATTCTCAATTTTTCTCTTCTTTAAGTTTTATTAAGTACATGAGAAGTTCATTTTTCACTATACCAAGTGAATTTATGAATATGTATTTGTCTTTTATAGGAATATGATATCCTGCTTCCAGTTCATCACAGGTTATTGAAATTATTTAACCAATTAAGACATTCTCTGTGTTACTTTCACTTAACTTTGTTTATCAAAATCTCACCAGTGAGAAAAATATCAGTTGTGATTATAAAAGCATTGTGCAATATTCTTTTCTGAGTTAGAATATAATGTGCATAAAATTAAAATTCTTTAAAGTGAATATTCCGCCTTATTTAACATTGTTTGCTTTAAAATAGTTTTCACTTCTGCATTTCATATTTTGTTAAAATATGGTGTTTTTCATTGTGAATAAGCAGAAGCAATGCAGCAGATCAGCCAAGATAAGAGATGCTTTTCCTCTGAGTTGCATCATAGTTTGATTACTTAGTAGATGAAAACTGCAAGACACCAAGAGATGGAAACTGGTTACAGGGTTCCCCTTACCCCTTTATCCTCATCAAAGGCTTTGTCAATAAACATTCAAATATTACTCTACCGCTTTCCAAAGGTAGATTGCTCAGTAGAGCAAACACACCTGAGACTGCCAGCAGCCCACAGGCCAATCTCTACAGAAGCAGCTGGGCAATGGTTTCAGCCAAGTGGGATGGGGGTGATAATTGGGTTGTACTCCGACCTGTTTCATTTCTCAGCCTAGTGCCAGAAGTGGTGATCCACTTCTTATTTTTGCCTTATTTGAGACAAACAAAAGAGTCTCTCCTGCTTATGATTTAAAGATATACGTATCAAAAAAGCAGGCACTGAAGATGTCAAAATGAAGCTTTCCAAAGGAAAGTTGCAGATGTTAGAGATCTTGCCCACAGGGCATCTGTGTGACCTCTCTTCTTGGAGGAGTGCTTTTTCATGCTCCTGGTTTAAACTGGCCAAAAGTCATTGTCCATTTATATCATGACTTCCCAGGGGACTGAGTCTCAAGCTTTCCACCAGATTTGCTCAAATGGATTTGCCCCCCTCGAGCCCTGGGCTAGAGTCACCTTTAATAAGCAAAAGGCTTTTCTTTTGGGTAGAAAGACTGCAGAACTTCCCTGGGCATCATGCTTGTTGGCAATAAGCAACATTGCACCATACTTTTTTTTTTTTTGAATGTCATTAAAATCTACTTTTGAAATTTGTATTTAATGCATCCCCAGGAACCTATGAAAGATGTCAAACACTAAGGCCTTCTTTTAACAGGGCCACCCTCAGTAACTGTGTGGTTCCACAGATAACGGTTGGAACCTAGTTCCGTGGAGCTCAAATATAATTTTTATAAAAAATAACCTTATCTGCTTTAGTTTTCCCTAGCATTATTCCCAGCTTTTCTTTGAGAGATAAGCACTTCCAATAAGAAAATCTTCTATTTCTCTTCAGGAGTCCATTTGTCGCATTCTGCCTTATATTGACTTGCCATGGTATACAAAACTATCACCCCAGTTTGAGTAAGCTTCTTGAATGCAAGACTTGCATATTTCTCAGAGTGAATAAAAGGTACTGGATAAATGCTCGAAAAGGCAATACAGTTTCTTCAAGAGACGGGCCTTTTCCCAGTCTTCTTCCGGCTATTCTATTTCCTTTCCCCCAATCTTTACACACCTTTCCTATGACTACAATCACATTCTCATTTTTGGTCTTTCTGGCTCTCAGGGCACATTTCTTTCTCTTCCTTGAAAACAAGGCACGTGTTTAGTCAAAATGGCAGTGTGTTTTGTAGGCACCTAATTATTGACTTCTAATCCCAAAGGGTTGTTCCTTTTAGAATAGTACCAGATCTTCACTACAAATTGTTCAGGCTGCTTATTCTTCCCTTCCAGAAACCTCTGTGCTTACTGGTTGTTTTAAATGCAGAGTAGCAGGTTTAAATAAGAAGAGACCCTCAATAATTACTGATTCTAATGGAAGATATACTCTCTGCAAGGACAAAGGGTCTCTATCAGACCACCAGATGGTCCATGCCATTTTAACAAGAAAAGTATGTTCCATCATATTCCATTCACAAAGACGCCCAGCACTGGTTTCCGCATGGAACATTGGTGCACATAGGCAGTAGGACAAATGGTCTATATTAGCTATCAAACTGAATATCAAACTCCCAGAAGTGGTGGGTACCAGAGGTCTTTTTTCCAGAACAACTACTAAGGTCTTGCTTGAGAAAAAAATATATGATCATCCAGGGTATACAGTTTCACAAATCATTAATAAATGTAGTATATAAGGTTCAACTTCTTCTATGTTCCTTTTTGATCCTATTCTCTACTGGTTAGAGAACCACAATATCACTCAGACCTTAGGACTCACTTCTACAGTTTAGTTTTTGACATCATAAAGTAGGTGTGGTACCTGCTCACATCTCCCATAATCCCTTGTGCACACATCTCATATATCACTTACCTCACTGTATTTCAATTGTTTGTTGGCAAGTCATCTATCCCAGTAAAATGTTTCACTGAGTGGGTCAGGTTAGTTCAAGATTTATTAAATATCTTTTACGTCCTAGGTGCTTTGCCAGGTGTTGGAGATACAGAAAACAAAAACAGTCTTTGATTTTGAGAAACTTTTATCTACTAGGAAAGACAGATTTTTCAGTACTATGATAAGCGCAAAGACAGAGGTATATATAAGTTGCCTTGAGCTCAGAGAGAAGCCCTTAGAGCATTCCGAGGGGACAAAGAAAGACTGATTCCTCGGGTTGGCTATTGACCTGAGTCTTGAGGAGTGAGTAGGAGTTAGATAGTAAGGCAGTTTCAGGAGAGGTGGTGTCTGAAGTGTGGGAGCAGTGAGTTGCTCAGTGACTGGGTTTAGGTATTGAAGACAGTGAGCACAGATTACTCTTCCAAGAAGATTCAAGAACAATAAAAATGATATTGTGGAATAGTTTGTTGAATCTCTACCTTGTCCCTCACAGGGTATTGGCAGGAGGGAAGTCCTATGAGATCTTGGTGTTTGTTGTCATTGATATTTAGTTCCATTGACTAAAAAAAGAGTTTCACTTCTCAAGCCCAATAAAACTAGACTTTTACATTTAAGTCCAGTTGGTTTTGACAGTCATTCTTCAAGAATATATTGGAGTTATTTTAAAGAAATACCTGAGTAACTTTATAGGTGTTTGAATCCCAAGTGTTTCCAAAAATCCAATGATGAAATAAGTACGCCCCCCCTCCTCCCCTGGACTTCCAATAATTTAACACTTGGAAAAATAGAAAAATGTAAATTACAACTATATCTTAAAATAATAGCCCAAACATGTGAATTATAAGGAATTAACATTTTTAAATATCTACTTTCCTTTATCTCTTGATGATTCTCATGGAGTGAAGAAAGTATCTTACCTCCTTTGACCCTCCCCTTTTAAAAATAACTGCACTACTATACAGGTAACAGAGGTCAGTTGGCTGTGAACCAACAGTGGCAAAGTCATAATTTGAAAGGAAGACCTTATTTATAATTGATGGGACCTGCTGAAAAAAATATATCATGGGATATAATTGCCTGAGAGATTCTATATAGAAGCAATGAAGTCTGAGGTGTCATTAGAACTACATTCTTTTATTTAAAGAAAGTGTGGAATTATGAGAAATGAAATGTCATTTCCTTCCCCAAACAAAGTTCTTAGGCTGTTTACTATGGAATTTTGGTGTCATTGCTCTTTCTCCTCGAGACCATTTAAATATTTAGTTTGACTTGTATTTCCGATTACTGACTGCAGTCATT